TACCTCTAGGAAGCCCACAAACAGGAAGGCTGCAACAGCGTCACCTGGCCTTTTTCTCCCTCTCCCAAGATTCTGGGGCATCCAAAATGGAGCTGATGGACAGTAGGTTCTTGGTGGACAAAAGGAAATACTACTTTACGCTGAGTGATTAAAATGTGGAATTCGCTGCCAGAGGATGTAGTGATGGCCAAAGGAATTAAACCGTTTTAAAGGGGAATTAGATTCATGGAGGAGAAGTCTATCAATGGCTACTAGCCATGGTGACTGAGGGGAACCTTCACATTCAGAGGCACTAAACCACTGAATGCCAGAGCAAGGAAGCAGCATCAGGGGAAGACCTCGGCCTTTGTTCTTGTCTGTCCAGAGGAGCTGGTTGGCCACTGTGTGAGGCAGGATTATAGGGTCCACTGGCCTGGTCCAGCAGGGCTCTTTTTAGGATATTGTCAGGGGAAGGCCACTGTTTGAGGCAGGATGCTGGACCTGAAGGACCACTGGTCTGGTCCAGCAGGGCTCTTTTTAGGTTCTTGTCAGGGGAAGGCCTCGGCCTCTGTGCCCTGTTGTTGGCCATCCAGAGGAACTGGTTGGCCACTGTGTGAGGCAGGATGCTGGACTTGAGGGACCACTGGTCTGGTCTGGTCTGGTCTGGTCCGGTCGAGCAGGGCTCATCTTAAGTTCTTATGCCTGAGCTCACCAGTGACTGATTTAAAGAGGCATTACTACCTGTGGCACTGGAGGGAGTAGATATCCATCGTGATTGATAGCCCTGTCCTCCATGAATTTATCCACTCCCCTTTTTTGCTCTCCAGGTTGTCAGCCATGACCACATCTGGTGGCAGCGAGTTCCACAAGTTAACTGTACAGTGTATGAAGAAGTACTTCCTTTTGTCTGTCCTGAGTCTCTCACCTTTCAGCTTGTGGGTTCTAGTATTATGGGAGAAGGGAGAAAAGAGGGTGTGCTTGCTATCAATGCTTCCTCTAAGCTGTGGAGTCTTGTGAGCAAAAATTCTACTTTGTGAGCCACTGGCATCAAAGTTGTGAGTGAGCGATTTGGCTGCTGCATAAATTAGTTTGCTCTGAAGCCATCCTTCCCGAGCTAAGACAAAAATGTGTGACCCGGAGGCTAAAGAACTGTGAGTTAGCTCACACTAACTTAGCTTAGAGGGAACACTGCTTGCTATGACTCATCAGCATATCTTTGAAGGTAGTGTTTCAATGTGGCATGTAATAATAAAACTCTTGAATAGAGTGCTAAGTATTGAGTAGAGTGCTAAGTATGGTAGGGCTTTGGCTGGGAGGGCGGGGTAGAAATATGAGAAATAAATAAATAAATGGTGCTTGTGGCATCCTCGTTTATTGGGGAGACAGTTTACCTTTAACACACACTCTGTGTACATGAACTTAGTAGATTTCTCCTACCACCAGGAATTAAAAATTCCAAATCTCTCTTTTTTGGTAGAACGACCCAGGGTCTGGGCACTTCAGAGGACTATGTGGCCTTGAGGAAGGACTATTCTGATTGCTGGGATAAGTTTAAACAAAAAATGATTTAATAAAGAACAAAACATGTTTTTGGTTTTTGAACTGTTGCTGAAGAAAGGAACTTGTAAATATAACTGGCAAAGCTTGGTATCACAAACAGTCTCTCAAACTCCAAACTCCACTCTGACAGGCTTAGACACTCAGTCTAATCTCTCTCTCTCTCTCATTCATATATATATATATATCTCACGCAATCTAAACTCTCATAGTCACGCAGACTATGCTGTTTGTCTTATTCACACAGAATACTCAAACTCCCATAGTCACACAGACTATGCTCTCTCTCCAAATTTCACACACAAAATCACCTCATAGACACCCCTCCTCCCACACTCTCAGTCATCAGCCAATCACATCACACTTGTCTCCCTCTATCACTCTCCTTACATTACTGCAGTCACACTAAACATTTAAAGAAACACACACACCAAAAATGGAATTATTACAGTGCTGTGTGGGTTTTTTCCCCCCTAAGAGGGAGGTCACCGGAACGAGGTATGGGGGTGGGGTCTCTGATAACTCATTTCTGCACTGCAAGAGGCGTGGACTGAGCAGCGGCTCCCGACAACTCTGCAGAGTGAGCCAAGCCGCAAATGACAGGAGAACAGCTTGTGTCCAACCATCTGTGCCTGGAAGACACATGGAGTTTTCTTTTCCTGCATTCCTCTCCATGCCTGCAGCCCCTTCGTTCTCCACGGAGATAGTTCCCAGAGTTGTGGAACTTGCACAGAGGGAACAGCCAGTGCAGATCGGGAGGCTGGAATAAGGAAGGGCGAGGTGGTGAAACGACCCCATCACTGGATCTGTTTGCCAGGGGTGATTTCATCAGCTTGGTTTCTTGTTTTCGTTGTTGTTTAATGGTTTTATTGTTTTATCTTGTTTTTATGCGTGGGCCTGTGCCCTCTTGTAAGCCGCCCTGAGCCCGCTTGCGGGGAGGGCGGGGTAAAAACGTTAATAACTAACTAACTAACTAACTAAATATACCCTGACCTTCCTAACTTCAGCCCCCCAACCCACACAGCTGTTCCTCCATGTGGGTCCCACCACCCCAGTAATCATCATTTTGGGTGTCCTAGGGGTGCCATGGGGATGGAGAAGGGGTGCAGGGAAACTCTGCATTCCGTGCGTGGGTGCTGGGCTACAGGCCAGCGCCCCCTTCAGTGGCTGTCCCGCTTGGTGGTCAGATACGATTATAAAAGGATCTGTATCTTTTGCTGATTTCCCCCCCCCCCTTTCCTTCTCCAATCTCTTTTCATATTTGTACTAGACTGTGAGCCATTATCTTGATCCACAAACTGCCTGGGTGTGTTGGCAGAAAGACAGCGTATAATTGTAGTAAGTGAATGAACGGTCGTGAATGAAAAGGAATCCGTTCTCTAGAGAGCAAGGAGAGAACAGTGCGGGCACTATGTTAACCTCAGAATGCGATGGAAGACCTCTTATCAGATTGGTGTAATGAAGGAAACGGGGGGCCTTGTTCTCCCTATCCCAGTAGGGAAAACAGTAACGTGCTGTCGATTGTAGCTGCATAATTGAGTTTAGCTTTTACATTTCCTCCTCCTGATCTGTGTACCTCACTAGCTGGGCATGAGATTAAATTGCGTACTTACAGACTTGCATGGATAAATGATGAAGGACTGTGTTCTATACTGCTGTGTATAGTTTACTGTTCAGTAGGATCCTATTGGAGCTGCGGTGGCTCAAGTGGTTAAGACGCTGAACTGCAGGCCGTGGAAGGTCAGTAGTTCAGCAGTTCGAGACCCGAATGTGCCGCATGATGGAGTGAGCTCCCGTCTCTAGTTCCAGCTCCTGCCAACCTAGCAGTTCGAAAGCAAGAAATTGCAAGTAGATAAATAGGTACCGCTTCGGTGGGAAGGTAACAGCGTTCCATGCGCCTTGGTGTTTAGTCTTGCTGGACACATGACCACGAAAACGTCTTCGGACAGCGCTGGCTCTTCGGCTTTGAAACGGAGATGAGCACCACAACCCTAGAGTCGGATTTGACTGGCTTTCGAGCAAAGGAACCTTTACCTAGGATCCTATTACGTAATTTTTGCACTGTGAAGAAGAAGAGGAGGAGACTGGATTTATACTCCTTGCCCTTCACTACCCGAAGGAGTCTCAGAGCAGTTTACAATCTCCCTTCCCTTCCCCTCCCCACAACAGACACCCTGTGAGCATCTTCCCTCTAAGCCGAGTTAGTGTGAGCTAGCTCACAGTTCGTTAGCCTCCAGCTCACACATTTTTGTCTTCGCTCAGGAAGGAGGGCTCCAGAGCAAACTAATTTATGTAGTAGTCAAATCCCTTGCTCACAACTTTAATGCCAGTAGCTCACCAAGTAGAATTTTTGGTCACAAGACTCCACAGCTTAGAGGGAATATTGCCTGTTAGGTAGGTGGGGCTGAGAGAGCTTTCCCGAGAACTGCCCTTGAGATAACAGCTCTGAGAGAACTTGTGACTGACCCAAGGTCACACCAGCAGCTGCACGTGGAGGAGCGGGGAATCAAACCCGGTTCCCCCAGATTAGAGTCTGCGCTCCTAACCCCTACACCAAACTGGTTTAATGTGTCATGCTAATACTTGGCCCCACCTGGCCCTGCCCATTTTCGGAAAACACGTGGTGGTCACCGGGAAAGGGGTCAGCAGGCACCATGCTGAGGAACGCTGGTGTAGAAGATCTTTTCTGTGAACTGTGCCTGTCAGTGTGTGCTTGCCTTAAAGTGATCCAAAACTTGCCACCTTCTAAAACACTTGTGATCTTTATCCCACCTTTCCTACAAGGAGCTCTGGGTGAAATCGCTTCCCCCTCCCATTTATCCTGACAACAGCCCTGCGAGGTAGCTCGGCCTAAGGCTGACCGAGAATCAACCAGTGAACTTCATAGCAAAATGGGGATTTGAGCCGGGGTGTCCTCAGTTTTAGTTTGACTTTAAGAGAGCCAGTTTGGTGGAGTAGTTAAAAGTGTGGAATCTAATCCGGGAGATTCCCCACTCCTGCACATGCAGCTGCTGGTGTGGCCTTAGGTCAGTCACAAGTTCTTTCAGAGCTTTGAAAAAGAGCAGTTTCTGTCAAGAGCTCTCTCAGCCCCGCCTGCCTCACAGGGTGTCTGTTGTGGGGAGGGGAAGGAAAAGGACATTGTAAGCCGCTCTGAGACTCCTTCGGGTAGTGAATCCAATCTTTTCCTCTTCTCCCTTCTGGGCAGAACCTTCTCTGGAGAAGACTGCATGCAAAGATATTCAGTCATATCCAGAGATTATGACCACACACTGTGTTTCCTGTTTAGTCTGAGGCTGATGGTAATTTGAAGACCCCATGGAGTTTGCACACTATCTGAAATGTTGTCCTAAATCAGAGACTGGACACTGATGCTGTCGGAGCTTGGGAGGTGCTTCAGACTCCAGTGTCTGCTCCAAACAGAAATCATGGACGTGCTCACGCAACTCTGCATTTTTCTTTTACAGGCCCAAAACGTCCAGCTTAGCAAGGACATGACCCTCGCCAGCAATCGTAGCCTTGCCGAGGGCAACCTCCTGTACCAGCCAAAGTTGGATTCTTTGAAAGCTGCGTTGACACAAAAGTACCAGGAGCTGCACGTTCTTTTTGAGGCTTATCAGATTAAGAAAACCAAGCTAGGTAATGCTGCTTCCGTGCCGAATCCTCCCCTTTCTGTGTCTTTCTCTCTGAAGCATCCAACAGAACAGCAGAATGTCAGATATCGCACGTCTGAGTGCTAAGTACATTCAAGGCACTGTTTCTAAAAATGCTTACATTACAGGCTGTTGAGGGTGAAAAACCGACGCTGTTTATATTTGAGACATAAAAACTGTTCGAAGCAGATGTGTCCCGTATGCTGTCCATCTTATCCCCGGAGACTGCCAGACTTTTTCACAAAGTTGGTGGTGAAAGAGCGGAGCTCAGTTCTCCAGCCTTCTAAACAGTCATGGCTTCAGTGGCAGCAGTAGTACATTTTAGCATTTGGATAGCACTGTGGAATGTTCAAAGCACTTCGTTTTAGTAATTCTTACGACTGCTCAAGTACTCAAGTAATTTATTGTATTTAGCCATTGGCCGTTACAAAATACAGCAGAGCATTCATAAAACGTTAAAATACAACCTTAGTGACCGGGTTAAAATTAACTACTGGTCCGTGGTAAAAAGGTAAAACAGGTTTGATCACCCTCAAGTAGCCTGCCCCTTAGATCTAGTCTTAGATGCTGCTAAAGTAGACAGGGAAACTCTATGGGATAGATAAGCATCATTATCTGACAACAGGCACACAGTCTTCTCAGTTTCTCGGAGTGCTTGCAGACCTAATACAATTCCTGCTAAAAAATTATGTCTTAGAGTGTTGTAAAGCGGACAATAGAGCATATAGTGAGGAGTGTAAGGGCCAAACTGAACATTCGGCTTTTTAAAGAGCTGGGTCTGGGTTCCCTACAGTCACACCACAGCTGCAGGTGGCGGCTTTTTAAAAATAAGGGAGATCCCAGAAGGGCTTGGAACATAGCTGGGCGGCGGCGGGGTGGGTGGGTCCCCCCCCTAGCTGGGGGGGGGGGGAGGAGAGCAATTATTTCCCTGTCTTGCTGTTCCATCTGGAATATTCTGTGCACATGGAGCAACCAAAATTGGGACGTAAGCAGTGTTCCCTCTAAGCCGAGTTAGTGGTAGCCAGCTCACAGTTCTTTAGCCTCCGGCTCGCACATTTTTGTCTTAGCACAGGAAGGAGGGCTCCAGAGCAAACTAATTCATGCTGTAGCCAAATCGCTCACTTTAATGCCAGTAGCTGACAAGACTCCGCAGCTTAGAAGGGAGCATTGGAAGTAACCCCCTCCCCCCACACAAGGATAATGCTGTTTCTATGCAGGGAAATGGCTTGGGGGAGAAGGCAGGAGCCCCCTCTCCCTGCGCAGCGGCAGTCAGAGCATGAGTGCTTTATTTTTTAATAGCCATTCCCCGCAGCTGCTGTGTGGCTCCAGGGAATTTGGCCCAACACATTAATAAAAACTAAAAAAACCTGACGGTGTAGTTTGTCCCCGAGGCAGGTCTGGGGTGGTATCCCTGTATTTTAGATGAGAGGCAGGACCAAGGGGTGTATTAGCTTGCCCGAGGCAGTTTGGTGTAGTGGTTAAGTGCGCAGACTCTAATCTGGGAGAACCGGGTTTGATTCCCCACTCCTCCACTTGCACCTGGCTGGATGACCTTGGGCAAGCCGTGGTTCTGATAAGAGCTGTCCTTGAAAAAGAGCAGTTTCTGTCAAGAGCTCTTTCAGCCCCACCTACCCCACAGGCAATGTTCCCTCTAAGCTGAGTTGGTGTGAGCTAGCTCACAGTTTTTTAGCCTCTGACTCACACATTTTTGTCTTCGCTCAGGAAGGATGGCTCCAGGGCAAACTAACTTATGCAGTAGCCAAACCACTCGCTCACAACTTTAATGCCAGTAGCTCACAAAGTAGAAAATTTGCTCACAAGACTCCACAGCTTAGAGGGAGCGTTGCTCACGGGGTGTCTGTTGTGGGGAGGGGAAGGGAAAGGAGTTTGTAAGCCGCTCTTGAGATACCTTTGGGTAGTGAAGGGCGGGGTATGAATCCAATCTCCTCCTCTTCTCTTCACCTAGCAGCTTCATTGCAATTAACCACTTTCTTAGCGCTGCGTAGCGATTCACTTGCTAGCAGCCCACTCAAACGGAGGTGAAACGTTTCCAGTTTAAGCTGGAAACTCAAGTGTGCTTGGGTCAAAGGGGCTTTCCATGTTAGCATGTATAGGGCAGATGTGCCGGCTAATCATTGGTGGGATCGCACCTACCCTGTTGCCATTTGCTGCTTGGTTTTGCAGTTCTGAAATCCCCCCCCCCCCCGAGCAAAACCAGCTGGGATAGGGCTTCACTTGGGGGCAGAAGGAAACAGGGAGAGAGAACTAAGTGGGGGTAGCTTGGAGGGAGGAGCTGCTTTGGGGGTAGCTCAGTTGGGACAGTGATGGCTGCACAGGAGCGGGGGCAGCGAGGGAGACCTGCAGCCCTTTGCATGGGTGTCCTGCTGACCTCAACTCAGTGCCTTATCGAAAAGATGGCAATGTGGAAAGTTCATCTGATTTACACTATTAGTGGTCAGGGCTCCCTCTAAGCTGATTTAGTGTGAGCTAGCTCACAATGTTTTAGCCTCCAGCTCACAGATTTTGGTCTCAGCTCAGGAAGGATGGCTCCGGAACAAACTAATTTATGCACCAGCCAAATTGCTCACTCGCAACTCTAATGCTGGTAGCTCACAAAGTAGAATTTTTGCTCACAGGACTCCACCGCTTAGAGGAGGGAGCATTGCCAGGGGCTTGGCTAATTGTGCAGTGTGTTTTTTTAAATTTTCCATCACCCCTCTTGCTAAAGTCAAATCTTCAAGTTAAGCAAATAACCAGAGTTTTAGCTTAACTAGTATTGCTCTTAAGAGCTGTGTTCTGATTTGTGGCCCTTGCTGCTTTTGCTCCGTTTTACAGACAGACAATCTAGTAACGCTTCCCTGGAAACCCTGCTGGCGCTTCTTCAGACAGAAGGGGCAAAGATCGAAGAAGACACGGAGGTAGGAGGGAGAAACCTGCGGGATTTGAACTGCTGACATTGGTGCTTCCTCTGAGCTCTTGTCACAAGCTGCAGCGCTTCTGCCGAAAAGATCTGTAGATAAAAACAAAGCATTTCGCTAACCCACAGAGGTCTCCTGCTTGCCTGCACACGCCCGCTGGTCCCAGGAGAGTTTGAGCAACAGCTCGGGGGGGGGGGAGGATTATCGGTCTCTCCTTGAGCCCTGCTGAATCCCGGGTTCAGACCTGTGGCTCGGACAGGAGAGCAAAATTCAGGATGGCTCAATGAGAGCCAGCTGCTTGGTTAATTTAGAAGACTTGTATGCTGCCCTCTCCGGAGACTTTGCCTGACTAAGTAAAGGTAAAGGTTTCCCTAGCTCGAAAGCCAGTCGAATCCGACTCTAGGGTTGCGGTGCTCATCTCCGTTTCAAAGCTGAAGAGCCAGCGCTGTCCGAAGACGTTTCCGTGGTCATGTGGCCGACATGACTAAACACCAAGGCGCACGGAACACTGTTACCTTCCCACCGAAGGGGTACCTATTTATCTACAGTACGATAAAAACGGCAGTGTAAACTGATCAGGAATAAAGCCATAAAAACCGTCTCCTCCACCAGACGGCCATCAGGGCAGTCAAGGCAGAGCCTTCTGTTGCCCCTCTTTACATCCTGCTTCGGGTTCCTTCCTTCCTTCCTTCCTTCCTTCCTTCCTTCCTTCCTTCCTTCCTTCCTTCCCCGGCCTGGGTTACCTTGAGGAACTGGGTGGCAGTGCGTGGGCTCAGTCACCCTTTCTGTCTCTGGGGCTCGGGGGGGGGGCTCTTCCCCATTTCAGCCTCCTCCTAATCACGGCCACAAGTTAGCACATTCCCTCCACTTGAGCTTGCCAGCAACATGTTGGCAGGAGCACAGTATATGTTGTTATCAGTATTTCTCGTGTTTGTGCACGTGAAGCATGGGCTGCTGGTGCTCAGGGCTGCTCATGTGCTCAATGCTCCGCATCCTGAGAATCTCAGATTTTTAAACAAATCTGTTTGCAGTTGCTGAAATATTTCCAAACTTGTAGGCAGTGCTTGCCGAAGGCTTTAGTCAGAAAGCGCCTGGCGGAGACTTCCTTTTGGGGTAGCGGGCGGAGGAGCCGCAGGGAGCCCTGTGTCATCTTCACCCCCAAACTTGAAAAGACCTAAAGCTTTTTAAAAACAAAACACAAACCTCACATGGGAAAAATCGAGCACTGCAGAGAGAGAAATCTCTGAGGGAAAGATTCCCAAGGGAAAGCAAAAGAGAGAGAAGGGGGGGGAGAGAGAAAACGTGTGTGTGTGTGTTTGAGCCCTAATTCTGGCACCCGAATAAATTGTGTAGGATAATGATATGCACACTTGATTGTTCATCTTGGTTTGTGGTGTTCGCTGTCATCATTGGATAAACATATGAGCAGTGGTCCATCAGTGGCTATAAGGGAAGCCAAGGTTGGATCAGGCCAATGGCCCATCCAGTCCAACACTCTGTCCCACAGTGGCCAAAAATACCAGGGGCCATCAGGAGGTCCAACAGTGGGGCCAGGACACCAGGAGCCCTTCCCCTATTGTCGTCCCCACCCCCCCAAGCACCAAGAATACAGAGCTTCACTTGCCCTGGACCGAGAGGTGGGACACATCTGCCACCCCCTCCTGTGGCAGTGAATTCCATGTCTCAATCACTCTTTGGGCGAAGAAGGACTTCCTTTTATCCGTTCTAACCCGACCACTCAGCAATTTCATGGAGTGCCCACGAGTTCTTGTATTGTGAGAAAGGGAGGAAAGTACCTCTTTCTCGACCTGTTCTATCCCATGCATAATCTTATAAACCTCGATCATGTCACCCCTCAGCTGTCGTTTCTCCAAGCTAAAGAGCCCCAAGCTCTTTAACCTTTCTTCATAGGAAAGTGTTCCAACCCTTTTAACATTCTAGTTGCCCCTTTCTGCACTTTTTTGAAAGCTATAATATCCTTTTTAAGGTGTGGTGACCAGAACTGCACACGGTATTCCAAATGAGGTCGCTCCATTGATTTATATAGGGGCATTATGATATTGGCTGATCTGTTTTCAATACCCTTCCTAATAATCCCCAGCATAGCATTGGCCTTCTTTATTGCTGTCACACACTGTCTCGACATTTTCAGTGAGTTATCTACTACGACTCCAAGATATCTCTCTTGGTCAGTCTCTGCCAGTTCGGACCCCATCAACGTGTATTTATAGTTAGGATTTTTGGCTCCAATGTGCATCACCTTGCACTTGGCCACATTGAACCCCATTTGCCACGTTGACGCCCACTCGCCCATCCTCGACCATGGAGAGCTTCACAATCCTCCCTTGTTCTCATCACCCTGAACAACTTCGTATCATCCGCAGATTTAGCCACTTCACTGCTTACTCCCAACTCCAAATCATTAATGAACAAGTTAAAAAGCAGTGGACCAAGTACTGATCCCTGCGGTACCCCACTGCTTACCCCCCTCCACTGAGAGAACTGCCCATTTATACTCACTCTCTGTTTTCTATTAATTAGCCAGTTTTTGATCCATAAAAGGACTTGTCCTTCTATCCCATGATTTTTGAGCTTACTTAGGAGCCTTTGATGAGGAACTTTATCAAAAGCTTTCTGGAAGTCAAGGTAAACAATATCTTACCCGGTATCGATGTCAGACTGACTGGCCTGTAATTTCCCGGATCTCCTCTGGAACCCTTTTTAAAGATGGGAGTGACATTAGCTACCTTCCAGTCCTCAGGAATGGAGGCCGGTCTTAATGAAAGTTTACTTATTTTTGTCAGGAGATCCACAAGTTTGCATCTGAGTTCTTTCAGAACTCTCAGATGTATGCCATCCGGGCCTGGTGATTTATCAGTTTTTAAGTTGTCTATCAGTTTTAGGACCTCCTCTCTCGTCACCTCAATCTGACTCAGGTCTTTCAACACCCCTCGTGAAATCAGTGGTTCTGGAGTGGGCAAGCACGTCTCATCTTCCACAGTGAAGACAGAGGCAAAAAATGCATTCAGCTTCTCAGCCATTTCCCTATCATCCTTCAGTGCTCCTTTTACCCCTTGGTCATCCAAGGGCCCCACTGCCTCCCTGGCTGGTTTCCTGCTTCTAATGTACTTGAAGAAAGTTTTATTGTTGGTCTTTACATTTTTTGCTATATGCTCCTCATATTCCCTTTTATCAGCCTCACTTGAGACTAGCTTTCCACCGCTTAAAGGAATCCTTTGTACCTTTTCCAGCTTCCATTACTTTGTTTGTTAACCATGCAGGCTTTTTTCTATACCTATTTGTGCCTTTCCTAAGCTATGGTATATAAATTTTTCTGAGCTTCTAGAATTGTAGTTTTAAATAGTTTCCAAGCTTCCCCAATGGTTTTGACCCTTTCTACTTTTCTTTTGTTTCTTCCTCACATGTCCCTTCATATCAGAGACGTTACCCCTTTTAAAGTTAAAAGTGGTATAGATAGGAATTCTTGGTCCAGGGCAAGTGAAGCTCTGTATTCTTGGTACTTGGGTGGGGGGGACAACAGTGGGATGGCTTCTAATGTCCTGGCCCCACTGCTGGACCTCCTGATGGCACCTGGTATTTTTGGCCACTGAGTGACACAGAGTGTTGGACTGGATGGGCCATTGGCCTGATCCAACTTTGGCTTCTCTTATGTTCTTATCGTATCTTGGAGTGGTGGTGGTGGTTTACAGTTAGAGCATAAAATCCCATCAAGATGATCAGCCGCTCAAGCCCCCAACAAAGTTTTCTTCCCTCGGTCACGAAGGAATGATAACTTTGTAAGAATGTTTTAAGCTGTTTCAAAATGTTTTAAAGTTTTATGTTGTCTAGGTACATTGTACCGACCTCTGTAAGCCGCCCTGAGCTTGCCCGCATGGAGGGCGGGGTATAAATACAAATAATAAATAAATAATACTAATACTCAAGTGCATATCCTCACCCCTGTTTGCCTGATGTACACAGCTTATTCTAGGTTCACACGTTGGAGTTGGGAGGATTTTGTGTAGAATGTGGGTTTTGTTTTACTGCTCCGCTAGTGGGTGGCAACTTTCCTCCGGTGCAAGGAACCTCCCCTGACCCAGGTGCCCCCATGTTGCTGGTGAAATGGGCTCTTGCGCTGGCCCCGGGGGCTCTTCGGGCCAGAGGATTGTGCTGCCGTTCATGGAGTGAAGTGGTAGGAGACCGCCCGGTGCCCTGACTTGTGCTGGGATGCCCATTTGACTGCCGTTGACGTTTTGAAACCGGTCGCTGCAGCAGCCCCAAGCCAGCCTGAAAAGCCCCGACTTCCTGCTCTGCAGTGAATTTCTGGAGGTTTGCCGGAGGAGTTCCCTGTCAAATATTTCCCCGGGTTGGCGTAGCCTGTGGCCAGGCAGCCCTGTGAACAACTTGGCCGGCTGTGTGGAAAATGATGTCATGGCACATTCCTGTCTCCAGTAGACAGTGGAGCACCAACCTGACCCTGCTGGTGACGTGCCCTAAGCAGTTGTTTTTGGCCTTACAAGATGGGTGGCCACCACTGTTCCCTCTAGGCTGAGTTAGTGTGAGCACGCTCACAGTTTTTCAGCCTCCGGCTCACACATTTTTGTCTTCGCCCAGGAAGGGATAGCTCCAGAGCAAACTAATTTATGCAGCAGCCAAATCGCCCACTCACAACTTTAATGCTCGTAGCTCACAAAAGTCGAATTTTTGCTCACTAAGCAAGAGTCCAGCAGTGCCTTAAAGACTGGCAAAATTTGTGGCAGGGAAGGAGCTTTCATGAGTCACTGCAACTGAGCAGCGACTTCCAAAAGCTACCCTGCCACAAATTTTGTTAGTCTTTAAGACACTGCTGGACTCTTGCTCTTTTCCTCTGGTTTTACAGTGCGCTTGAATGCAGGCATGGTGGTGACCCCGGTACATTAGCATTAGAGCAATATGCTTTTCAAGCAGCTCATTTAAAGTTTAAGGTAAAGGTTTCTCTTGCTTGAAAGCCAGTCGAATCCGACTCTAGGGTTGCGGTGCTCATCTCCGTTTCAAGAGCCAGCGCTGTCCGAAGATGTCTCTGTGGTCATGTGGCCGGCATGACTAAACACCAAGGTGCACGGAACGCTGTTACCTTCCCACCGAAGTGGTACCTCTGTATCTACTTGCAATTTCTGGCTTTCGAACTGCTAGGTTGGCAGGAGCTGGGGCCAGAGACGGGAGCTCACTCTGTCATGCGGCACACTCGGGTCTCCCACTGAACCACCGCAGCCCCATTTATTTAAAGTTTAGTCTCTGGTCTATCCAGTGAAAGGATCCCTGGTAGTCAGGCCGAGAGAGTGCAAGAGTGAGGCCCCTGCCTGATGCCCAGGGAAGCAGCTGCTGCTGCTGCTGCTGCTCTGAGTGCAGAATATGCTGGGAGAGGGCCAGGCCCAGTGTGGCATGGTGGTAAGGAGGGACAGCCTGGGATCTGGGAGAGTCTGGTCCAGTTCCCTCCCCTCCCACAGAAGCTTGCTGGGTGTCACTCTCTTAGCCCAGTCTACCTCACAGGGTTGTTTTGAGTGTAAAACAAGCCTTGGCCTCTTATCTTTAGTAGAGCCAGTTTGGTGTCGTGGTTAGGAGCGCGGACTCTAATCTGGGAGAACCAGGTTTGATTCCCCACTTCACTACATGCAGCTGCCGGTGTGACCTTGGGTCAGTCACAAGTTCTCTCGGAGTTGTTCTCTCAGGAGCAGTCCTCGAAAGAGCTCTCTCAGCCCCACCTACCTCACAGGGTGTCTGTCATGGGGAGGGGAAGGGAAAGGAGATGGTGAGCTACTCTGAGACTCCTTCGGGTAGTGAAGGGCGGGGTAGAAATCCAATTTCTCCTTCTCTTCTAATTCAGCACAAAATAAAAATGAATAAACATTTTATAATTAGAGTGGTCTTAGAAGGGGAATGGGAGATTAGAAAAAAATATTAACTTGGCTAGGTTTAAGGCTGTGGCCGATAAAACCATACCATTGGAGGACGGAAGGGTAAAACGGTACAGGCCACCCTGTCTGCCTGAGCTCTTTGGAGGAAGGGTTAAAAAAAGGATTGGATGAACCAACCTTGGCTTCCCAAATAGAGGCCCCGTGCCCTTGACCATGCAGACACTGCTTGTGCTGCTGCAGGCTGAGCCGTGCGCAGGATCAGGGCCCCCTTGGTGCATCCCGTCAGTCCGGGTTAACAGCCAGGGAATGCTAGACTCCGATCGGAACTTGCTGAGAGTGGCACCTCCTAATAATTCTTCCCCTCTCTGACAGAACATGGCCGAGAAGTTTCTGGATGGCGAAGTGCCGCTGGACGCCTTCATCGACGAATACCAGAGCCAAAGGAAACTGGCCCACCTGCGGCGTGTAAAAATCGAAAAACTCCAGGAGATGGTGCTGAAGGGGCCGAGACTCCCCCTGGCGGCACCGCCTCAGCCGAGAGCCACCGAAACCCCACCGGCGCTTCAGACTCTGGAGGCGAATACCCCTCCGTCCGTTATGCCTCGTCGCAATCCACCGCCGCCACCTCCGGCGTCGGCGGTCCCAGCCGGACGCTTTCCGACCCCATTCACAGCAGCGATGAATGCTGGACCGGCTGCCCCCTATCAGAGCAGTCCGTACCCTCTGCTTCCCCCACGAACGGGAGTCCCTCCTATGATGCCGCCACCGGGATATCCGACTCCGTTTGCGTCACAGTTCCCTCCAGCGCTGCCCCAAAGACCGCCGCCTCGCCTCCCACCCAACCCGGGCTTTATCTTGCAGTGAATATGCCATCGGGGCCGGACTCACGGATTGGTGCTTTCCTCCTTATTCCTTAGCTCCGTGACTCGCCTGAGGAAGCGGCGCTAACCCTCCCCTTCTTTGCACAGGATTTCAGAAGGCGTTTGGGGTGACAGCCAGTGACGCATCAGCGTGTTTGACCCTGCTTGTCTTCTTCTCGTACAGAATGGGCATCCGTACCAGTCTTGCACGGGGGGGGGGGAGCCGAATTTTCGTCACTCTGGCGAAACACTTCCATGGTAATTGGGGTCTGGAGCAATTATTTCAGCCGAACGCCTGCCTTTCCCCCTGGGATCTTGTTTCCTTTCTGACTCCGAGCACAAGGGACCACAGGCCATCGATTCCTCAAAAGAAGCCTCCGTTCTGATATGCAACACACCCGGCCATTGCAGAAGCACTCTGTCCATGAGACTCCAGTGGAAAACCTTTCTTTGAAACAGGCCGTTAGCCCGGTCCTCTCTGTGCCTGGTGCTTGTGAGACATGGCTCTGAAAGTGATCGTGTCTGTTGGAGTCCGTTGGCACCTGATGTAATATCGCTGGTTCCGGGGAGGGGGGGTTCCCTGGACTGCTTTTTCAAATGGCGAGAAACCCACTTTCCTCTTAAACTTAACCTCCAGAAAGTCTCAGGATTTCCAAGACAGTGAATGCAAAATAACTTTTCCTACTTTTGAAGGGTGACTAAATTACACAATTAGTGCCATTTTGAGAACTCACTGCAATCACCCCCTTCTGCCTGCGTACCCCCCCCCTTTATCGGCCCCATCTTGAATATTAGTCTCTTGTTTGTGATGTAGTGGCCTGCCTCAGTTTTCTATGCCGAAGACTCCCCACCACAGCATGAAGACAAGAGACTCTTTTGTTCAAAAAGTTCATTTTTTTAATATTCTTTTGAGACCATATTGAGATTGGTCAGTTATCATTCCCGGCATCTGTATTCCTGCCGTCTCCTGACCCTAGCCAAAGGGGCTTTCCCCATCCCCAAGAGTATGCACTCAACCTTCACTCTGCCTCCTTCTGTACCAGGAGAGATCTTCTTTTGAAGCCTCTCTGCTCTTCCAAAATTTGTTAGTTTCCTCATACTAACAAGCCACATCCTTTTAAACATCTTGCTGGTGGTTTCTCTTCTCTGTATGAATTCTTGTCAGCTAGATTTTTTAAAAAAAATAGTTTTTTGCCTTTGTGATTTGAACACTGGCTAAATAATATGCAAAGTGGCACTTTTCATTGCATAAGTGATTCTCCAGAAAGTTTGGTAGAGGGAAAGTTGTTTTAGAGGGTCAGCACAGCCATTGTTCATCTGGGTGTTTGGGTGGTTGCCGGTCGTTCAGAAGAGTTTCGGAAGGGAATAATTGTTTTAGTGCCGAACCTGAAGATTTTTTTGGGAAGTCAGCCATCATCTTTAGAGCAGGTCACGCTGGCCAAGGGAATCTTGTTGATGAGTGGGTGTAAATTCTTGCTGCCTTCTGCTCAGAACTGCCAGAAGGTTAATGAGAAATGCCCATAAAATGGAGAACCCCACGAAGGGAGACTTGACAAGCATTTCAGGATTCAGTGTCCCTGTGGTGACTTCAGCGATAGCATTGCAGAACCCTTGCCGTCTACACACAGTCCTAAGGAACGTGAGTTCCAGAAGAGCAGTCTTCCTCTTTCCCCCTCCTAGTAGTCTGGCCAGGAAAACGAGTCTTTGGCATTGTGCCCCGCTAATTCTTTGAAGGCTTCTAAAGCAGGTGCGTGGGGTCCAAAGTTGGTGAGAGATCGCTGCAAGAAAGCTTCGGTGATGGGGGAAGCAGAAAGGAAGTAAGATTCAACCAGGCCTCGTTAACACCCTATTGTTGTGGAAGGTGACATGTCACTACCTGAATGCAGGTCTTAGAGCACCGTATGGGAAGGTGGATTCGTTTGGGCCACCCCCCCCCCCCCAGCTGAGGCGTGAATACCTCCTTAATGATATTGGGCAGCCTTATTCTGTCAAAAGTGTCACCCCTTAATCATGGTGGGCGAGGCATTTGATTGGGAGGAAGCAGTGGAGATAAAGCTTTTGTCAGTATGACCAGATTGCTTCCTTTAAATCCACGCAGCCTCCCTCTGCTCAGGAGGGCAGGGGTGTGAAACGGGCAGCCGGGCCCTGGAGAAATACTTCTCCGATCAGGCGTTTCACAAGGGCTGTATTTTGCAAAGCTTGCAGAGTGCGAGAGCGCGAAGCCATCGGATCCGTGCATTAATTATCAGCCTGCCTTATTGTTTTAGCGTGGAGGTTTCAAGTGGACTTATTTTCGACAGGACGTCTTCGTTAATTTGCTCTTAAAACCGCCTGCAGTTGCCAGTCTTGGTTTCAACACACTCGTGGCTTCTTTCCTCTCTACCCACCCTACTTCTCCTCCTAACCTGTTGCGAAAACCTTTTATTTTGTGACACAGAAGCTAAACCATACCAGTTTAGTGCAGCCACACTCCCATTCTTATTGCGTCATGTTGGACCTTGTGATCTGTGCTGCCTTTTTTTAAACTGCAGGGGTTAAAAATGCAAACCGCTTTGGCCCATAGGCCCCGTTCTTGAAGCCATAATCTTTTGTGTCGGAGGACAATTTGGAACTGCTCTTGTCATCATTGGCCAGTCTTAGTGTATCACTGAGCTGCCATTTCTCTCTCGGGCGGCCAATCAGGTTTCTTTTGGAACAGGGTATCCTCCCATCTGGAGACGGGACTCTGAAGCGAACCCTGACAGGACCAGGAGCTCATGGTTTGGTGAATCCGTATGTGTGAATGAATCCTTCCCTGTTTCTAGTCTATCTAGAAGGAAAGCTGGCTCCTGGAGACTCACTGACAAATGAAACCTGGGATATTTCAATACTTCATGGATGGCACATGATCTTTCCTCTTCTTTTCCTTCCTCCCTTTCCCCAACAAAGGTGCCCCTCTCTTTGCTCAGCACTGCGTATCCATTACAGCTCGATTCCGGCACGGTGAACTGTTTTGTCCTTGTGATTTTTCTGTGCTGCTAATCGTACTCTTGAGCGTCAAGCCCTCAGAGGTCACGGCTCGGTGGAATGACTCTGCAAAAGGATTTGGTTTCCACAAAGAACTGAGTTCTGTTTGTAATTGTCCTTTTAGAAGGATGCTTCTGGCGTGACTGCTCCCGCCTCCAGGAAGATGTTTGGCTGAATGAAGAAGATGCATGACTTGGCTAGAGGCAGAGCCAGCCCACCGCTTTCACTGGGTCTTTCGGCCAGTTACAGCGGGACTTTTCCAAAGGTTCTGTTAAGATGCTATTGGGGTGGGGAGACTGCTTGTCTTGTACAGATTGTGCAAGAAGCAAGTCTCTCCACTAAGGCTGCTTCTGGTAATTATGTGTTAAAGATGTTGTTAAAATTTGTTCTGGAAGCTCAGTAAAAGGTGAGCGAGATGCGAACGTGGCTCATTTCAGTGTGAGCCAGTTATGTATGTTACTCATTCAGCATGACAAGGAGCTTATCTCCCCCCCCCTTTTTTAATGGCACTAACATACCTAGTTTTTTACTCCCCCTTTTGAGTTTCAGCCTGTGTGGCACAAAGGACTCTCTTTGGTGCTATAATCTGATCTGCTGTTCAAAATACTCAACAGGGTTACCAATTATGTCTTCCTGCCTTTTTGAAAACACCTTTCACTTCACTGAAGAAATGTGGTCTTCTTGCAATCTCCTTTGTCATGTTTTCTTTTCCTTTCAAGCAATTCCTCGTCTCTGCCCCCCCCCCCCAAAAAAAAAGAACTTCTGGGTCAGGTATTGTTGAAACGGAAGGAGAAAGACCACTTGCCTTGGTCTGGTGCAGTACAGCACATGCAACCAAATATTCAGGAACTGGATTCTCTCTCAGGGCTTCTCTAAAGAATGCTGGGAATTGTAGTCTGGGGAGGCTGGGGTTGGGTGAAGCGACTTGGCAGGTTCCCAGGATACTTGGAGGAGCTCTGATTGAACAGGTGTTTTGAACCACTCAAGTGTGTCAGGTGGACGTTGCCTTAGTCCGTATCACCAGAGACACTTTCATATGTAAGCCACCAGTACATCTCCTGACTTGTAAAACAGCATATCTTAAGCGTAAAGACAGAATTGTGTGGGGCTCACTGGCGAACTTTATACTGCATCTTTCTATACTATCTGGAAACTTTGGGGGCCGACACCGTCCAACTGTTTCTTATCAGGAAAATAGTCCAAAAGTATTTTTCACTAATTTTTTTAAAAAATGCTTTTTAAAAAAGTAACTAGACTTTTGCAATGGCTGGAACCATTCAGGGATAATAACCTTGTGCAGAAAAGAGCCACATGAAGGACAGCCATTTTTTTCTATCCAGAAGCAGAGCATTGTGGGGGGTGGGTGGGGGAGAGGTGGTGGATGTGTGCCTTAGGATCACTGCTTGTGACTAGGTGGGAAGGGGGGGGCAGCTGCATATCTTAATTCAGTGGTTAATTCAGAGCTATCCTCTCCTGTAAGCTCCTTTTTTGCGTTGGGAGTATTTGGACGTAAACTTAGGGCAGTGTCTCCTGTTTGCTTGCTGCCAAGCACTGAGGAATTGGACCCACCGTCAGCAAATAGTTTGGGGCACAACTAGCCTGGACTACCCGTCCCTGAATAGCTAAGGACCGAGCTGCTTGCGTGGAGCTCTGCCCACTTCTCTCTGAGGCGGGCGAGAGGCCCGTGGTTCCCATCTAGGTCTAGTGGGTGTGACCGAAGTGTCGCTGCAGTTGAACCGCTTGTGGAAGAGAATACCGTTAAGACTGTAGGTCTGTAAACATGTGCATATATTTGGGGAACGAGGAAATCTTTATCTGCCTCCTCAAGCCCTTCATTTTTAGAACCCCCAGATTTGCCTAGTTCACCTTTAGGTGTACGTAGAGAGGCTGCTGGGCCAGTGTAGACGATTCACTACAGGTGGGAAGTTGGACTCCCAAGTCAAGCTGTGAAGTTACTAATGTTTGGAGAACACAACGCAGCCTGTATGAGAGAGCACCAGACTCTACCTGGTTGCTATTTCTTCTTTATGCAGTTTAAAAAAAAGAAACGAAAGAAAGATAAGGGGATTCCTGATCTGGCTTGTCGTCTTTTCTTAATCTGCAGATGTTAAGTGTGTTTTATGATAAGGAAAAGTTGCATGCAAGATTAGGACAGTAACAGCCAGCGTGGCGGGGGAGGCGCCTATGCAGGGGGGGGG